AAAAAGTGCACAAAAAATGGTAGGAGGTATGCACGTGAATTGCTACACCATAAAAAAGCACTTGAAAATTTCAGCTACTGCAGCGTAAATGTCATGGTAACAGGTTAACAAGGATACAGTAAATAAGCAGTTACCAACATATTAGGCAAATGAAAATTTCAGGCACAAACAGATGTAATATCACCAAGACTCTCAAGATCGCTTGGACAATTCAATGGGACTGAGATGCACTAACATGTCAGGCTAGGCTAATTCAGGCTTTTCGATCAATTTTTTTTCAAAAAGCCAGGTAAGTTACATTGCTTCTAAGTCGATCTTCTGCTTCGCCTTCATTCATTCCTGCAATATGTACTAATTCCCATCGCTCCTTGTCCTCCTGTTCCCAGAATTCTATGCCATCGGGTATCGGAATATGATAAATATTTTGATATGTCCAGTATTTCTTTCGCTCTTCATCCCATTTATCAATATTCCGTGGTACTTGTACACCAAAATCACGCTCCCAGGTTTGTCGTCGTTTCACACTGGTCCCCGATGGTGAACTTGCTGTTGGACTTGCAATATCGCATATTGGAGAAGAACGAACAACTTGTCGCGGAGTGCCTGACTTCACGTCGGCGTCACCTGTTACGCTTCCTTCTGCCGCTGAAAACGATGAGGAAGCTACTGTTTTTGAGACCGAGTCGGAAGCGAGTGGGATCATCACACACTTCCAACACTAACTGAACGAAGGCAGACCGAAGTTCCTGAATCATTCCAGTCGTTATCCTTCTCAAGGTATAGCAATGGATTTGCTACACGTGAGTTCATTAATTGTTATGCTGTGAACGGCGCAATCGAAATACTTTAAAAATGAACAGCGAAGGAAGAAGGTTAACTCGCGTTTCCCTGTGACCTTAATTCTGTAATGGAGGGAGCTGTTGAAAATGGTGGTCCCATAAACAGCTTTGAATTGAATTTTTTACAAATATGGGAAAATGACGAAAAACACCTAGCCAAATAATTTCTTTTTAAGCAGTATAAGTTGTATTCTCTTTGCTGGTAGTTAACCTTGTTCACTTGCTGCTACAGTCCTGTACTGATTTGCATGTTGATTTTCTATTACGTTTGTCATTAGCCGAATTCTATCATAATTAATAAAGCTTTGTTTATTTCTTACAGATTTTCGAGCTGTTTAAATTTTTTTTCTACTTTTATGCGTCAAAACATAGCGATATCCTTGTCAGTTATGTTTAATTTTTTCGGCTATTATCGAAAAAACTTTTATAATTTCTTATCCTGTTTCACTGGGTGATTCCCTCAAGAACAAAACGACACTTGTACAGAACTGTAGCACACAAAATTTCAGGCGACAAGTGCCATACAGCGTTTTAAAAAATCCTGATGCAAATACTGTGCAACACAAGGGAGCACAGTAGTACAATTAGTAACATAACATCTCCGCACTGATCATACGTTCGACCTTGTCGAAATCACTGTATTAGTGCACGCTTGAGAATGAGGGCTGGTCAAGCGTTTTTCGAGTGAAAACACTTTTGGATAACTTAATAGTGATAGATATGAGCGAAAGGGTGAGGACAGAGGAAGGGGAAAAATCCTATACCGTCATCGGCTTAAAAAAATACGTTAGCCGGTTTCAGACTTTGGTGACGCGTCCGCGTGTGGTGACGACAGTATCACCTACACAGTAGAAGCTTAAGCGTATTTCTCAAACCTTTTTAAAATTACGTGCTGTATGAGTTGAGAATGGATAAAATGACTAGTGAGTTCTGCAAGTGCTCCTACCTCCTGTCATTAACAAACAGTAACAATAAAATTTTAGCACACTTCAACCAGTTTTATACATACTGCTCAAGTCTGAATTGCCTTGGCGTTTATTTTCTATAACCTTTTTGACGAAGACCCTTTTTCAACCGGTGTGTGATATTTTCTACAGACAATGCTATACAGGCTATGGTTGTTCGGACAAAAGCAGTCAGGCCAATTCCTCTATTCGTTTCGATGACACTGATGCATGTCAAGTATTTGAGAGTGCTACTTTACAAGCAGTCTTGCAAAGCCATCAAAAACCTTTTCAGCATGCGATTCTTGTTGGCATATGCCATCACTTGAGCTGCTCCCGAGTTCCTCCGACATTCACAGGGGGGTAAAAAAGGAGTGACCGTGGTGGCGGAAAGAAATCTTTTGAATCATAGGCGAATCCACGCCTCCACCCCCAGCGGCACAGGTAGCAGCGCCAAAACTATAGAAAACTCTCTTTTCCCCCACCTTGTTGATCTCCCCAGGAGCCTTACCCACCTTTCCCCCCCCCCCCCCCCCCCCCCCCCCCCCCCCC